GGTATAGCTGTATACTATGTACGTCTTACATCACTGCACACAAAAATTCAAATTTTTGTATTCATTAATGAGCACGTGACGCCCCGTGAAAATGGGGTGGGTGAGGGCAAATCACAAAATGGCCGCAAAAGAAGCGTGTGCTGTGATCAAGTGTATCGATAAAAAAGGATGTCTCCTAAGGACATCCATGAAGACATGGTCAAGACACTTGGTGATGACTCCCCTTCTTATTTAAATATAAAGAACGGGGTTACTAGCTACAATCGCGGCAAGGAGAGCACAAAAGATGAACATAGGTCAGGATGCCACAAATCAGCACCACGGACAATCCAGTTGAGGCCATCCATCACATGTTAGTGAATGACAGATGTGAGACTGTCCAACATGTAGCAGGTTCTTTTACCTGTGTTATGACTCAGTTCACAATATTTTGTCGAACATCCTGGGGATGAACAAACTGTCTGCATGGTGGGTGCCTCGAATGCTTTTTGAACATCAGAACTTAAACAGGCTTGACATTTGAAGGAACGAATTCAGTCCAATTCATGCAGTTTCCTCAAAACATTTGTCACTCAAGATGAGCTGGGCTCACCACTTTCACCCCGAATCAAAACAACAGAGCAAACAATTGATGAAGAATTTTTCCCGCCCCCCAAAGAAGTTTTAGCGAGTTTCGTCCGTTGACAGGGTTTTTGCCTCTGTTTTCTTGGACAGTAAGGGAGTAATCATGATTGACTACCTGCGAAGGGGTTAAAGCATCAATGGGGAGTACTATAAAACAGAATTACGACATTTGAGGGCAACGATCAAAGAGAAAAGGAGAGGAAAGCTCCGAGCTGGCGTGATGAAAATGCACCTGTCCACACAACACAGGGGTCAGCGACAGCAGCAAACGAATTTGGGTTTGCAATCTAACCCCACCCTTCCAATTCACCTGACCTAGCACCCTCGGACTTCTACCTGTTTCCTAAACTCAAGTTCCACTTACGTGGTCAACGTTTTGATGGTAATGATGACGTCATCTATGCGGTATAGGCCTATCTGGGGGGTCCAGATGCAACCTTCTTCCACAAGGGGAAAATAAAGCTGGAACATCACTGGACCAAGTGCATTGCAGTTAGAGAGGACTATATTATAAAATAGTTTAAGACAAATTTTACTGCCCTGACGTTTTCTAGGTGAGGCCGAGAACTTTTTGAACACCCCTCGTACCATGGTGACAGACGTCTGGTTCAGGTCATTGACCTTACATGTATTTATTTGGAGAGGAAGAAGAAGAAACAGCAAAAACAGTATGTTTTCCTTCTTTGAAACCCCAGCATAGCCGAAGAGCTGACATACCTCAACAGACAGCTTAAGACCCCGATGAAGGCGAACAGGAGTATACTGATGAACGCCTTGCTGCCGGCCATGTTTCCCTCCGCTACCGATGACGCCGGGAGTGCAGGTGGGTTTAAGGTTGTGTCTGAAGAATATAAAGGCATGAAATAGATTATTATTCTGCCACAGAAATATCCATGTTTACTACACACACTAAATATCCAGTCGTGCTTAACTTTAGGTGTATGGGGTATAAAAAGTGATTGGTAGCTTTACTGAATTTTGTCATAAATGACAGTGCCTCAGGATGTATGCATTACATACTAGTAGTTCATCTGACACGATCCAAGTAATTGTCGCCATTGACAATAAGAATCGATCAATCCTTCCGCAAGATGGTGACGTCCAAGATAAAGAAACAGCTATCTGAAAATTAGAAAGTGGACTAACACCGCGTGTTCAGCACCAAGGACAGATACACATGTAAACTAGAAAGGTAACATTTGCAAAGCAAATACATAATGTTTACCTTCGCATATGGTCTGCTCTGTTAATTCTTACTCAAACACATTCATATACATGTATATGGTCAGACAGGAGTCTAAATCGCTCCTGCTATAAAACTGCAACATAACCCAACACTAGTTACTACTAGTAACACACTAGCTACCATGGTAACAGACAGTCTGGTTCAGGTCATTGTTTAGAGAAGAAGAAGAAAAAACATAGCAAAAACCACGTTTTCCTTCGGTAAACATAATCATCTCAGTAAGACCAACAACCCTTTTCATGATCCTTTCCCCAGTTCTGTTCATGCACCATGTTACGACGTAGTTTCGCATGACCTTGATGAGGCCTCATGATCGAAGAATGCAGTATCGGAGAGATTAGTGGCTTTTATTTGACTTTGGACAGAATTACTTCGATTTCCGCCTGCAATGTCTATAATTCCCGATCTTGATGGAAGTAGAATTGGTAAGATGCCAGCAGGAATCTGTTCAACCCGACATGGGGTCTATCTTCAATTGCCTGAGGAGAGACTAGATTGTTCCACTGCCCAGTTGCTAATGCAGATCTTAATCGCGTAGGGATATGAGGACACCATAAGGATTTCCAAACAAAGTTTATACGGACAGAAAATGGATATCTGTTATAAAGTTTCCACACGGTGTATATTCAGTATGGTTAAGACATATCTGTTTTTGTACGATATGCTAAATGTGCACTGTACGCTGATTTTGTTGAGTCTGAATTTGAAGGCATTTTGCAGATTCCATAATTCTAAGATGATGTTGATGTATCATCCAGATTGCATAAAGTTGTCTCAAAAGGAGAGCGTTTTGTACCTAAGGTATCAAAGCATTATATCAACTACTGGATGAGTACCGGGGGCTTTCGTAGATAAGTGCTTTTCACAAATTCAAATGACATTACCACTATTCAGATGAGATGAGTATGGACCTGGTCTGCCCATAGCAAAACTTCGATTCATGAGCGTGAAAATAAGCGAGGGACTTGACATTCACATGTGTGGGCAATGTTGGCATAGGTCCCACATATCTATAATTAGTATATCTCTGCACGGACGCATGTCTTGCCCTCTCGGTGACTTTCTGGGCGATATAGGTGAGTGATTCGGTCGTTCTACCGGCACCATGGGGAGTGCAGTTCCGGAGTATGCGCGCGGTCTCAAACTTACGCTGAGGTTACATTTCCAAACAGGGGCCCGGCCAGGCAGTCATATGGAACGAA